AATTTTCGACCATTTTTGAGCTCTTGTGCATAAACAAATTATCGGAATTTAATCGGACTTTTTTCATTTTATAGGCTTATTTAATACCTACCTTTTTTGTATAAACTTTTTTTCGCTATGAATAATAGCTTTTTACGTGAGTCAAAAAACCACTTTTCCATAACTTTGACCACTGTTAAAACAAAGTTTCCCAACTAGCCTCGAGTTGATTTTTTGATATATTATTTATAAAAGGCTTCCGAACAATATTCCGCAGAGAAACTTCTAATAGTATTTTTTTCCCCAAAACAGGCTCTTTCATGTCTATAATGACTGGGCTATAATAATATCTTAAATAGTATTTTCTTATTACCTTAACATAAAATTAAAAGTGCTTTTTTTAAGTTGTTACAGTGGTGTTAACCCTTGAAACTTTAGAAAAATATCTACAGAAATATCCCAAAAGCTGTACCTAATAACATTTTATAGACAAAATAATTTTAACAAAATGCACGATTAAAAATAAATAATAAATGTGAGAAAAAATAATAAGATAGCAAGTGAAATCAATCAATGAAATAAATTCAATTAAAACAACTTTTATCATAAATAAAACAGAATGATAATACAATAAACAAAAAATATAAAATCTTACCATTTTTTTCTCTTTGGGCTAGAGTATGCCACACAAGCTCTTCATCACAATAACATTCTAATAGTCTAGCAATAATTGTGTTTTGCACACCGCTGGTAAAATTATGTTGTTCAAGTATTTTTAATATCTCCAACAAAAAATTATAATCCAAAATATTCTTGAAAATGGATTGAATATAAGTATTAATTTTATCACAACATAATTCATCCTTGGATTTGGGCAGTTTTACATCTTTCGCCCACTCGTCTTTTTCTCTATTTAAGAGTTCCAACTGTATAGCTTCTCTATAAAGCAGTTGGCAATTTTTATGGATCATTAATCCTTTATGTATCACGTTTAAAGCCTGGTTTAAATCTGTCTTAATATACCACGCTGCTGCAACTTGCCACACTTCCGGATTATGAGAAAAATTCTAAAAAATTAAATAATCAAGGAACAAGCAATCAAGTATTTTCCATTTGTACATTTTCAATTTTCTCACATTAAGACTGTACATACTTTTGATAGACATATTGAATATTTAATTTTGAAGTATATTTGTCTTATTTCCGAGTTCTCATCTCACAATCAGATCTAAAAGACTTAATATAAACAAGTTGAGTACAAATAGATGAGGTCAAAATAATATCAGTTCTTCATATACATTTTTTTCATACGGGCCTTCGTTAACAAGTAACGGACTCTCAAACGTGAAAATTTAAAAGTTATTTTTATTTACAATCCCTAAACTATTAAGGGCTCACATATACCTGGGTAAATTGGGAAAATCGATTTTTCAAAAAGGTGCTCATTCGAAAGTACTGTCCTTCGAGTGTCTACCCTGAAAATTTCATAAAGAAATTCGCAGTAATGACGAAGTTATAGCGTTTCGTAACTGTCCTGGTAAGCAACGAATAACGGTCGGGCGCAGGTAGACGCGGCCTTTGTCATCTGTTTGGCTATAGTCTACGTCTACACTACACGATTTGGGTGTTCTCGCCCCTGTTGCATTCTACGTATTTATCGTCCTTTATACATATAGCAAGAGCATGTTCCGACAAGTCTAGAGAAGATCCTTCATATGGCCCAGGAATCGATGATTTCATGTAAGTTTAAAAATAAACCAGTTATTCCATTGTAAAGTGGAAGCAAAACTTTAAACGCGTTTTACTCGAAACAGTATTTTCAAAATCGGTACCAGTAATATCTGCGCAACTACTGAACCGATCGGGATCAAATTTTTCAAAGTTATGCTTCACACAATAATCTAGTACTTATCGAGCCCTTTTTTCGATATTTTACATAGTTTTTTTTTTTCTTATAATTACTCAACAATTTTAAGGCGAAAAACCGCCAATTTTATGCAAATGACTGCCATGACCCGAAAAAATTGAATTCGCAAATTCCGGCTCGATAAGTACTAGTTCTGTCTATCTACTTTGAGAAAATAATTTTTTTTTTTTTTCAGAAAAGAAATGGCGGAGGCACGTCTGGTACCGCGAACGCTCTCGAAAAAAACACACCCCGGAAAACGACTGCAATTTTTTTACCATTCAAAATTTTCGAACCCAATTTTTACACAATTTATAATAAATGCCATACTTCAAAATGTTTATTATGGTTTTTTAAAAAAATGCAGTTTTATACACGAAAAAAAATCTTAAACATAACCCTACTTCTAGGTGCTCAGCTATATGTGAGCCCTTAACTTCAGCATGTTGCAAATTTGGTGATCGATAACACATGCATACAGCTTGTTTTTGATGTAAGTGAAACTTCATTATGCCCAGTACGCCAGGAACGAACTATGCCCAATGGTTAACAACCCAGAATTTTTGCATAGATAACGATCGCAATCTGCCTGTATCAAAAATAAGTTCCAGCTTGGTGTTATGAACCACCACTGGTAAACGCTACCGAACATAATTGATGCGTTAGAGCCATGCATTGAAAGAAACAAGGCCGCAATTGGAGCAAAAACACGAAGTAATTTTTCAACATGACAACACTCTATCACATGTTGCTTGTAAAGTCAAAAAATACTTAGAAACGCCCCACCCCACCCATCATATTCACCAGATATTGCTGCATTTAATTACTACTTGTTCCAATCCATGGAACAATGCTTGGCTAAGAAGCCCTTCTAATCTTACGAAGATATGAAAAATTGGATTGATTGGTGAATATCATCAAAAGATTAGTTGATCTTGTGATTTGGCATCTATATGCTGCCAAAAATGGGAAAAACTAGTGATTAGCGATGGGCAATACTTTGAAAAATAATAATGCATACAACACTTCACAATAGAGCCTTCAATTTACAAAAGTACATTATAACATGATAGATTTTATATTTCTGACATAATGGACCAACTTTTTTTATAACACCCTGTACAGAATACCAAAAATGTTTTCTGCCTTTCTTCCAGTAAATATATCAAAATACAGTTTACCAAGAGAAAAATGTACATACTCCTATGAATAAAAACCTATAAATGTTAAGGTCTTTCCAGAAATTTACTTTAGGCTAGCGACTCAATTTATGAAGATGGTGTGATACCTAGATCTACAGGAGTAGGTAACCACTCAATATAGTATAGTAACGAAAAACGATAACACTACTGGTATAGCATTTCATAATAGCAAACGATCTAGAAAATTTACAATGAATAGTGTAAATTTATAACTGAATTCAATTACGATTATGAGTGTATTTCTCAAAACAACCTTTAGTCCTTAAGTATATATTGAAGCTGACCGATTATTTAAGTGATTATTTTGGAAATCAAGACTATGAGACTGAATAAAATTAAATACATTTCCAATTACAAATATATAAGTAAAAAGAAATAATGTAATATACATACCTTTATCATATTTTGTATAACAAGGGACGCAGGTCTATTGTAGTTGAATTCCTTACAAAATTTAAAATATGATAAACACAATGCAAAATCATTTGAAAATCTCTGCAGGGCTATTTCATACAAGTACTTTATTCTTTTTAAAATTTTAAATTCGATACTGTTCTTCCTATCAGCCACTCGATATTTATTTCTCCTCACTTTAATGTCCCTAAGAAGAATTTTTTCATACTGGATATAGTTTTTAAAGTCTTGTAGATTTTTCGACACTCCATTTATCTTGTATTCGTAATGTTTTCTCTTTTTAAGTATTGCCCTAAAATGAATTAATAAATAATTTACAATAATTCTACTTGAAACAATGTAAATTCTCACTTATTTTTAAAAGTATGAATAGTTTTCACAGAAAATTAAATGCAGAGGTACTTTAGTTTTAAATTGCAATATGGTTAATTAAAACAACTGAAACTATTTATAAATAGTTATGGATACGAGTAGATTTGATCAAAACCAACTAGACTAAAATCAGTGTAAGCAAATTAATAAAATTTTTGACAGATTAACAATATTAACGAATATCAAAACATTTTAAATAAAAATTATAATACAAAAGATCTGTAAAATCAACCAATAATCTTATTGTTTTTACCTGTAAGTTATATGGACGTAACTATTGTCATTCACCTGGATTCAGACATTTTATGTAACATAATTCTATTAAATTAATTCTGAAGATCAAGATAATAAATAAGAGTAGGTAGTGTCTTACCGACTCAAAATCATTAAACAACATTTAACATTATATTAAATCTTCATATTCAAAAACAAAAACTGATAATACTAACCTAGTTTCCTCTACAGAAAACAATTTTATTCTCCTCATTTCCTCAATTTCTTCAGTCATAGACTCCATGTGTTTTTCCACTGATTCGGACATGGTGCGTAAATTTAATGAATTTTTATACTACTTAATATGTTCTAACTAATACTTAATAGTTAATAGTTTATAAATTACGTATGAAAAGATTAATTAACTTTTAAAACTATTTAATATGGTGCAAACGACATGTGTAAACAATTTGACAACTGACAATTGAATTAAAGAATTGACAGCGGACAGCAAGGTTGCCAATCATATAAAAATAATGGCCAGCTAAATTCTAAATGTGTCTTCAGTGAATAAATCACAAGAATTATAATATAGTTGGATGCACATTTCTGACGGTTTGGAACCAATCCCTGACTCTTGTTGGAACAGACCTTACCACCTTATATCTCTGCAAATGAAGCACCAAAATAAATTTGTACCATTCTTAAATAAACCATTGAATTTTTACATTCAAGGTCTAAAGAAATTGATATCTAACAGGAATTATCATTGCACCATATGCCTAGATCATCACCATGTAAGTTTGTACATTGGAGATGAATTTTTCGAGACAAAACGTCTGAATCTAGTTTGGGTTAAGGCAGTACAGTATTGGGGGTCATGAAGTCTTTCAAAAAATGTAATTTCCAGGGTCGTATTTAAAAAAATGAAGAGATAAACCATTACATATAAAAATTGATTATGCCATTAGGTGGAGGGCAAAAAGTTGCCCTGTAAATTAATGATGAAATTTGAGACATTGGAACTTTAAACGATGCTACATGATTAAGATTACATACCCAGTCAGCTTTTTTTTTATAAAAATTATGATTTTCTGGGAAATAGGTAGCTTTAAAAAAATGTTACTAAATATTAAAAAAGGTATGACAGACCAATGTATAAAATGAAATGAAGAAAATATGCTTACCTTGACTCATGCTATGTTTACAGTGGAAAATCATTGTACTATTTAGATGTCTTTAACTTCCACACTGTTAATATTATTCTTCATATTTTACTGCGGCAAATATTAGTGGAAACTTGTTCTGTATTCCAAGTACTTAAGAAATTTTCATCATTCTGCATGTTTCAACCATTAATATTAGATTCGAACTTATATAGTAAATTATTATAATAATGAATCTTGTATGAATAAGTAAATCTGAGGCAAGAAATTAACAAAATAATTTCACACAATAAAAGATTTTAAATTTGTTCCTACTAGATATATTTTGTACATAAAAAGTAGACATAAGTTAAATATTTACCACTAAAACAGCTTTAACAATTAATGTACTATAAAAGTAATTTTATTCTTCCTCTTTGAATTTACCATTATAGTATGGCAAAAACTGTAGTACAGTTTTCCAATCAGTGGCATAACACAAACCTATTCCTGCAGTAGCTCCAAAAGTTATAGCAGATCCAATCCTTTATAAATAAGAAGGTTTATTAGATATACAAGCAATAAATGATAATATAAAGATATAGCCTTAAGATTATATAATATTTAGCAAGATATAGGTAATGCTCACCACTGAGAAGCGATTTCAATATGTTTTTTTCCTATTATTCTTAATGGTCCTGGTAAAGACAATTTTGTAACAGATCCTGCAGCTGACATTTTTGTTCAAAAAATTTAGAGTGAACTTGAATAAAAAATCTAAAAATTCAGACAAATTTCTTCCCAAATGTATAAAAACCACAGATAACAGAACATTATTGATTAATAATATATCAGTTCAGTGCCACAGAGGATAAAGGGATAAAGGAACGTAAATAACAGCGCTCCATGTGGTTGCAAAGTGAACTATTTCGATAAAAAATTTTTGGAACGTAAAAGATCAATAATACATTTTAGTGGAATATAATAGATCACGTGGAGCCCGTTGATTATCGACTACGATCGAGTTCCTAGCGGGCAGCCGACCAGAGCACACGTGTTTTGTGAAAGTGTAGTGCAAGGAGCAATTTCTACCTGCCTTTATTAAGGCTACCTGGAAAGAATCCCTTTCTTTCCTTTTAATCACCGACCTAATCCCCGGCTTAAGCATAGACGCCGTCGGCATCTTTGTTACAGCACCTGTGCCGGGGTTATGCCCAGGTAAGTTTTTACTTATTTATCAGTTATTTGCATTACTTTAGAATACATTTCTTTAAAATTGCGACCCCCGACAAACAATATACCAGACAGACAAATACACCAAAAGACACGTACGCCCCCGTGAGGGGGCATCCCCACACGACTAACACTTACACACCTTCCC